CTGGGTGAGATTCTGTTGCCCTGGCTCCATATAGACTCACTGTCATCATTGTTGCTTGCCTGCACTCTCATGGAAGTCATGGAAACATCTCCTAAATGACAGTCCATAGTTGTTGTTTTTTTTTCTTTTTTTTTTCCATCTTAGAAATATATTTATCTTTAATAAATAAATGACCTTTAAAAAATAGGCTTCAGGACATGATAGTATAAGCTAAAGCTTCCTCTTGGCAAAGCGAGATTAGTCCTGGTTGTTTCTCTAACAAATTTTTAATTATGTCTACAATGTATTAAGGTCTAGGTTTTTTCTTAAAGTTCATTTCTGAAAAACACATTTTTTCTTAAAAATTTTGCTTTTTAAAAGATATTGCTTGATCAGCATAGTCATGATCTGCATTAATAATTCTTTACCAAAAGAATTTTTTATCCAAAAGAATTCTCCAAAAGAATTACCAAAAGAATTCTTTATCCAAAAATTTATTCAATACACATTTTATGAGCAGACACTGTGCCAACACTGTTCTATGTACTAAGGATACGGTAATGATTTATATAGACAAAGTTCCAATTATCTTGGTAGATTGGACTGACAAAATAAACAAACATTTAAACATATAATATCTGCAGAAATTACTGACTTGGAGAGAGAAAAAGAAAAGAGTGGGCAACATATGGAATGGCAGGGATTAGATGACTATTTTAGATAAAGTCAGGGAAGTCTCTCTGAGAAAATGGCACTTGAGCAGATACCTGAATAAAAATGGAGGAGCACATCATGCAGTTATTTGTCAGGGGGGTGGGGCAAGGGTAGGGGGCTTTCCAGGAAAAGAGATCAGTTAAGTGAAAAGGCCCGTGGGAGATAATGAAATAAGCAAAAAACAAAAACGAAAAGAAAAACAAAACAAAACAAAAAAACAACCCCCAAAACAAAACAGAACAAAAACATTTCAAGAAGGAAGGTACAATCATATCTATTAAACAGTAACAACTGGTTTATTGTGAAGGGCTGAAAACTGAATTCAGGATTTGGCAACATGAATGTCATTGTTAATGTGATAAAATTTTTTTTTTTTTTTTTTGGAGTGACGGGCCTAAAAAGTATGGTTGGAATGGGTTCAAGAAAGTATGCGAAGCAGCAAGAGGAGATCATTGGAGTAGATAAGTATTTCAAAGAGGTTTGTTGTGAATAGGTAAGGGAAAACAGTATATAATAGATGGAATTTTAGGTCAAAGTGTATGGGGTTGTTTTGATAATGTCCATCTTTTGATAAATTCCATCTTTTAAAAAAAATGTTATTTATTTTGAGAGAGTGTGTGTGTGAGCGAGGGAGGGGCAGAGAGAGAGAGAGAGAGAATCCCAAATAGGCTCTGCACTGTCAGCGCAGAGCCGGACATGGGGCTTAAACCCAGGAACCGTGAGATCACGACCTGAGCCGAAATCAAGAGTTGGACATATAACTGAGCCACCCAGCCACCCTTCCTTTAGCCTTCCTTTAACTTAGGATTCTTATTGACAATACAATTGGATAACTATATTCATTATTTATTTAACAAATATCTATCGAGTGCCTCTTATGTTCCAGGCACTATTCTAGGCATTAGGGAAAGTAGTGAATAAAACAGGTGAAAAACCCCTGCTCTCGTAAAGTTCACCAACTAGTACCACTTGAGGTTGTCTTTTGAATGTTTTAGTTTTCTGACACGATCAAACTCTCCCCAGTCCAATCCACCTGTTCTGTTATTCCCAAGTCAATGCTCTTCACATAGAAAATGTATCATATAACTCTCCATTTACAACAATCTACTCAATTTGTGGTTTGATACTATCTTATAAGTAAATCCTTATTTCTCCTTGCAGCATTTGTGTTGCAATTCAGCCCTGAATTGCTTGTTTGAGACATTCTTAAAATCAGGGATTTGTACCTCCTCTGGGAAGCCTATCTTTTGGTTCCTTTTACTGCAAAATTGACATTTCAGGACATTAAAATACATCAACTAGCTACACAAACTCACTATACATTCGTTTCCTTTTAAATAGTTAAAAGATATTTAGACATTTCAGTCCTGTGTTGGAAGGTACTGATCCTGTAACCCTGAGCTCTAACTGCTCAGGTTGGGGGTAGATACAGAATAAGGGTGGAGCTGGGGAAGGATAGCCTAACTCTTGGGGGATTTGCAAGGTCATCTGGTCCAGCACCTAAAAGGGGTTTCTGGTCCATTTCTTTGTTGAAAAATCAGGCAGCTGATTTCTTAAACAATAGGCATGACTTTGTATATATGTATATGTTTTTCTCTATGGCAGAAATATGGATGTTTTCAAGGAAAACAAAGCAGTGACACTTTGGCATATCTTACCATATTATATGGAGTTTAGGCAGAAAGCAGAAGCCCCACTCAAAATGGTTTAACTGAAAAGAATATAATGAAGGGACTATGACAGAGTTGTGGGTATGGTTAAGAGGACTACTAATATGGGAAGCCTTTACAACCCTAGGCAGTTGAAGAAAATGGTATTATTAGAGACCCATGAGAGCTGGAGCCATGGAAAAGAGGCTTTGAGACAGGCATTGTAGACAGAAGGCCAGGGTATGGCCAAAACTTTGGCCTAGTACAAGGGGGAGGGGTGTGTAATTCATACGCTGGTATTTTTCTCTTCCCTTCTTTTGATCTTCTGCCAGTGCTTCTCCCATTGGTCCAACTCAACAGGAAGCACAAGGCAAGGAGGTCCTGGTAATGTATTCAAAAATGTCAGCTCCCAGGGCAGAGCATAGAGACAATGGATTTGGAGAGGGAAACCAAAAATATCTACTATAAATATTTTCTATGACCACAAGAATTAAAAAAAGTCAGTAGATGGCAGGGAACTTAAAAATCACCATAAAAGTAACTTTCTAATATTATCTCCTTCCTATTCAAACATTTAACTTACTAAATGTTCTTTCTGCCTAGTACCCCGATCAGCAAACGTTTTCTGGAAAGGGTCCAATAATAGTAAATATTTTAGACTTTGAGACCTAAGGGGCAAAATTTAAAGTATTACATTGTATTTATGTAACGACTTAAAATATAATCATTTACGGATCTAAAATGCAGTCATTAAAATCTAGTGGGCTGGAATTCGCTTGTAAGCCATAGTTTCCCACCCTCTGACCTAAAAAGTCTTCTAAATTTTTGCTAGCCTAAATCTGCCTATTTTTTAAATGTCGATTCCAAATAAAACCTCCATATGACCTGTAATACTGGGACTCTTTGAGTTATGAATGACAGGAAGTCAATTTTTACAAGCTGAAGAGAGTAAAATTACTAGCTTAAATTTGAGAGGATGCTGGAAGTAGATCCCAGAATCCAGGAACTGCCTGAACCCCAGCTACTCCAGGGACCTGGTTTGCTATTGTAGTTATCAGAACAAGCCCTTTTTATCTCTCTTTTATCTTTGCTCAGTCTACAGTTTGGTTTCATTGTTTATTAGTGAGGGCAAGGCTTCCCCATAGGAAACGGAAAGTACCTGTCCCTCTTCAGGCAATAATCCCAGGCAAGTATTCTTGACCTGTATTCGTCACACACCCATCCTTAGAAGAACGTGTGTGGGTGGGTGGGGTGGGAAGGGTGGTGGTGGTAGAGAGGTTCTATGATTGCACAAGCTCAGGAGAGGAGCCCACTGCGGAGGAGGGTTTCCCAAAGGGAGGGAGAATTCTGTTGCCAGGAGATACAGATTTCTATTTTTGGGAGATAAAAATGTCACAATTATAGTACAATATGTGACATGCCATAAGAGAGATAATGTTTGAAACACACTTCATCACCCCCAGTACCTAACATCACATTTGGTAGACATTCATGCGTTTTTGATGAATGGATGACTCAGTTCCCCCAGCTGGTTGTGAACGCCCTCGTTTCTAAACTGGCCTAGATATCAGCTGTCGTCTAGTTCTGTAGGTTGTATTAGAGGTTTTCCGTCTCCGTATGTTATTTTTCCTCTAATTCGGAGGCAAAGCATGCCTGAGACAGAGCCAGGCAACAGGAAATCTCAGCCCAGGAACCAGAGCACAGAATGCTGTATAAGCCGGTGACAATACCGATTACGTTCTGGGTGACCCATGTGGCCTTTTTGTTGAGGCCTTCAGAAGGACACAAAGGCCCCACCGACAGACGCGACCCTCCGTGGGGAGGGAGGCAGGGCCCCGGGGGCGGGGGCACAGCGGGGGCCCCAGCCTCGGGGGCGTCACAAGGCACAAAGGAGACAGCAGGGAGGCGGCCGCGGGCGCCTATCTTCGCTCGCCAGCCACTAGCAGTTGCGGTTACAGACCTGCAGCTCCCCCTCCCCCACCCCCTCCCCACCCAGGCCCGCCCGCCTTTCTGTCTCCTCTCTCCCTCCGTACTGGACGGCCCGGGTCCATTTCCGGGCTCCGGATATTTGGTATTGATCGGGGCCGGGGGCGCGGGAGCAGGTGGCTGCGGCGGGGCAGCTGGGCCGCCGGGACCGGTCTCCCGCCGCCTTTGTCGCCAGCCCTTCCGAGGCGGCCGCTCCTCCCCCAGGTCGGCGCGCGCTGCCGGCCGGACTTTGCGCCGCGTCGGGCGCTGCTGCTGCGCGCGCGGGG